GGTCGCCAAACTTTTTTGATCATCGCCCCCTATATAATTTTTCGAAATCTCCATAGACCCCCCACAAAGGTAATTTTCAGGTAATTTTCAGATAATTAAAATAAAACTATATATTAGTCTAAATATTTAATAAATCAGAAACAGTAAGTAAAGTAGCTACAGATTTTTTACATCTTAATGAGATGAGTGTGCCTGGTGTTTCTTGGCAAGGTTCGCTATATTGGGTTCGAAATTAGTCAATTTTAACCATAAATCCCCTCGAAGCTCCACATTTAATTTATTTCTGTTTTTAGTTAAAATTTAATTAACGTGACTGAAATCGGCTTCAACCATATACGAACTTGGAAATGCCAGCATAAATGCCAGCTGAGCCATTTCGTAAAGTTTCACATATTTTTGCTTTTTTTTTTTTCATATATTAGTCCAAAATTTATGTATTGTCAAATTTTTAATAAGCGTTTTTGCTTCAAGATTGGACAATAGTTCAGCAAGCTCATCTTGTATGTTGATGTCGATGTTATCAATTTGTGCCGAAAATGGCGCAATAATCCAATCAGGGATGTCGATGTTTTCCAAATCAACAAAGCGCAGTTTAAAATCGTCGCTTAATTTTTGAAGATGATTTGTATATATTTCCAAGTCTTCTTTCTTTATTTTTAATTGTTGCAGATTTGAAAAATACTTATAATCCTTACGTAGCAATGAAGATCTAAATAAATTAAATTTTACTTGGAAGCCTAACAGTATTGTCCGAGCTTGGATAATTGTTACATCTTTTCCTTGCAGTTTTGTGTTGAACGTCATTAAATTTTCCAAATAAGTCTGCTAAATAAAAAATATGGTTCTTATTGTTTTGGAGTTCATTGCTTAGAACAGGATTTATTTCGTTCAGAAATTCTGTCGTGGAGTCAAATAAATTGACGAGCCGTTGCAAGCATTACACCTCTAGACAACCATCTAACCTCGGTGTGCAGAAGTAATTGGTTTTTAATAACTCATTGTTTTCCTCACAAAGTTTGGCAAAATAATCTTGATTTAAGAGGTTGAGCTTTAATTTGGTTAATAGATTTAATACAAAACTGTAAAGCTTCATGTAAGTCTGAACTCAGATATTTTGCTACTAAGTTGTGTCTATGCAACACACAATGAATAGTACGAATACCGGGCACTTTTTCTTTGAGGCATGTAAGCAAAACCTTGGTAACGCCCTACCATAGAAGGTGCGCCATCTGTGGCTACTGCTATTATATTTTCAAGCGGAATGTCATATTTATTTAAATATTCTTGTAAACATCTAAAAATTGTCACTCCCTTCCCATGGTTTCAAGATATTTAACAAATAAAAAATTCATCAATGACTTCTCCTTTAATTTACTGAAATATCTAACATACGCCATAAGAATAGCAGAAACGCCAAAAAAACAGATTCATCAAGTTGTATAGAGAACTTGCAATTTTTTAGCTCCGAAACTACTGTGTTTTCTATTTCTTCGGCCATTTCGTCAATACGCCGTTTTACAGAATTTGCACTTAATGGCAAAGACTTTAAAAACATCAGTAGAGTCTTTTTCATCACATTCTCAATGACGTCTTTAATTGCAGGTACTACAATTTTTTCTGCGATTGTGTGGGGTTTTTAACCTCTTTGCTATATTAAGCGAAATCTTGTACGAAAAGCAATTAATTCTCCTTCATTTTCAGTTTCAGTAGACTGTTTGTTCAGTAGAATGTTTCATAAAACTTTTTAGAGTTGGTCGGACATGTGAATTTTTCTTTGAGTTTTTTGAAAAATTCTAATTCTTCACTTTTTTTTTATTGAATCTGAATGGAGCATTTCAAGATTGATCTTTCATTTTTGATGGTTTCATGTATTTCATTTCCAAAAGTTCTTTCGCATATAAGACACATAGGAATAGTTTCATTTGTCGGTGAACAAAATAAATCCAAATTTTAAGTAATCCAATGAATAATACCGACATTTCTTTTTAGATACTGAAGCTGTCATTTTTTAAATTAGGGTTCTGTAAATAAGTTAAAATTAAGTTGTATATTATACTAATCCACATTATTAAAGCTTACCTTTTCACAAGTAACAATAATTAAAATTGATATCAAAACTAAACGAATAGTTTTATAGAAAAATAACTCATTATCCAATGGTAGATATAATAGTAGTAATAATGACACTACAAGCATTTAATACTGTTCACAGTTCACAAAGATAGCTGAAAATGCATATGATATTTGCGTTTGTAGCATCCAGTGTAGAATTGGACAAGCGCACATATGCATCTGACTCATATGCAAGGCTCATATGGTTTGCGATGGAGACAAAGGGCGAACCAACGACACAATGCATAACTGCCGTATAAAAAAGAAAAAAACTAAAAGAACTAAAACCACACACATAAGAAGAAAGAAAACAGAGTACTGAAGATTTCCTTCGCGCTTAATGCATAGAAAGCCAACGGCAGTGTCGTCGCTCGCCAAGTCTGCGCCAAAGGCTTTTAATTGGTTGATGGGTTCGCCAGCAAGAGACACGAATAAGCCTCAATCGCTCTTCTGGCTACATACTATGAGTTGTGCAAATTACAAACTGGTCACAAGGTCAAGTTGTGACGTCACGGTATACATACGAAAACCCATAAGGAAAAAAGGGGCAGATTGTTTTCTGATTTATTTTTTATTTCTATAAAGAATATAATATTAAGTCAATTATAAAAATATTTTTAATTTTTACGTACGCAGTTAGATATGTGTGATTTGCGTATTAAGAACTGTTTTTCCTTCGAGTCCCAATAAACCCCCATTCGACCCCTTGGGTCAGATAGACCCCTACTGTTGTTAAATAAACCCCTAGGGGTCTATATAAACCACTTTGCCGACCCCTGCCTTAAAGTCTACTCCACCCTGAAATTTCAGTTCAAAATAGAGGAAATAAATAACAATAAGGCATATTTATTCTATTCGCTTGGAACTTAACAATAAATACAATTTATTTTTCCACTCATATTGATATTTAACTAATTTAAATCTAAATTCTGAACATTTTCTAAATTTTCATCGTATATCAGTTTCTCTCTTAACAGATATTGCAAGCAAAGTAATTTAAGTAAAAAAGAGCAACATTTCTGAAATCAGAAGACAGAAATTTGTTTCATGCAGTCATCCTTTAACAGTAAAAGCTTAACTACCTGCATACTTGAAAATTGGTGAATATTCGTACAGTCAAGCGTAACTTGAAAAAGAGGAGCAGAAGGGGGGATAGACTGTAGCCGTTCTTTAGATTTTTCCGCTAAATAAATGCTTTTGACATTTCGATATGCGCATCGTACAAAAACAAACCAATGGAACAGAAAAATATTATGCTTAGCAAGCACAGTAAAACTCTTTTAAGTATTCATAAACAAATCTCAGACCGAACATCAAAATTAATTATCTCCGCAAAATATCGCAAACGTTATTGTGCAATACGTATGCCGTAATTCTTCCCTACATGATATTACACAATTGGATTCAACAGCTGCCGGTATTGGGAGAATAAAGAACTAAATAAAGGAAAAGAAAGATACTTACCAATCTGGGGTGTTTTTCATTCTAATTCAACAGACTGCGTTAAATTTCCAGAATATAGAATCATTCTTCGCTTGGGTTGGTAGACCACAGAACTTTTAGTCCTATTCAATCCAGATTGGAAAGAGGCAAAAAAAAAAGTCCGTTGCTTGTTTTGCAGCGAACTGTAACAGTTTCAATATTCGAGATTTTGCGGAGAAAGGGGAAAACCTCCCAACCTTCGTACTGTGTAATGTATTGGCCAAAAAAATGAAATTATTTTGACTATTTGATTACTTTCCCTTTATTTAAGCCCTTCCGAATATTATTCCTTAGAAAGCTAATCTGTGTTAAAACACTTAATCATTTTTGGAAGTTTATCTATACTTAAGCAGTTACTGCAACTATGTTATTATAAACATTCATACATATGCTCATAATATAAGCATAACAATCATAATAAACATGAATATGAACTGACCAAGCGGAACGAGAATGCAAATTATTAAGATCTTGATAGAAATTCAAACATGTGTAGTATTTGGGTTGGAGGAAAAGAATGCAGAGTGTACCGGAATTTTCTACTGCTTTTGTAATTCTTTGACCAACACAACGACAGGCACTTGTCTATACTCTCCGCGTACACCAAAGGTTATGTTAGTGCAAAGAAAGGGGGAATAGCTATTTCAGAGAATATGATTCACCATCTGACATTCCATATTAGGAAGAAAAGTTGTTTATTTAGTTTCGGCTTTCGTACGGGGAAAAATTGCGCGTTCATTTAAAAAAAAGCACTAAAAGCAAAAAATAAGCACTAAAAACAAAAAAAAGGGGGGGGCTTTAAAGAAAACGTAAGCACCTATAAGGGCCTTTATATTTTATTTTCAAATATAAGGACTTATAAGCACTTATAAGGACTGCTACGAACCCTGTTAAAAGCGAAAAATAGCTCTTTTCGACTTTAAATATCATACATTTTTACCATGACATTCTTCAAGAAATTTCCCTTTCATTTTTCTTCTCTCTCTGTTTTTGCCTTGTACTGATAACATTTTCTTTATACATTAAAATATATCTGTTAGAATACCTTTCAGTCATTTATGTGCAAGCAATACAAATGTAATGTTAAAGATATAAAGGAAAAAAGTAAACAGAACTCAGAAAGATGTAATTTATAAAGGTATAACATGATTTGGTCCTAAGGTGAGTGGAATTGGTCCCAAGATATGGATTTGGTCCCAAGGTGAATAAATTCTACTGTGTATCAACATTTTTTTTTTTTTTTTTTTTTTTTTTTTTTTTTTTTTTTTTAATTTCACCTACTATTGTGGCACACAATAGTATAAAATGATGTTATTAGCAATCTTTTCAACTAGGACTTATAGAAAATATTTACATATCACACAATGATAAATCAATAAAATGTGAAATCTTAATTAAACACTCACTTTATCTGATACGGTTTCAAAATCTCAGCTAGTGTATTAGACATAACACCATGCAAAAGCATCTTGTTTTCACGTGCAAGCCCTATTAAAACAAATCATAGAAACTAAATAAACAAGCAAACCATCAATTTTAATAATTTATTTTATAATAATAATAAAAAGTCCAATAATGCACTCACAATTTATGAGATAAGCACACAAAAAAGTGCAATACATAAAATACAAGATGCATAATGCTACAGTTGAAAAAGGAATTTATCAAAAAATGAGTTTTCAAAATTACAAACTGAAAATAAATGGTTTATATATATTATAATAATAAACATATGCACCTTTCATTTAATTTCAGCCTTAAGAAGATAAAAATCAGCAGCCTATATGAAAACACATTAAGACTCAAGTGGTACCTCAGACTTGGGATATTGTAGTATTCTTAACAAATATATAAACTGTTCGTTGTTGAAGGTTTACATTTTCAAGAATTTCAACTAATTTAATTCAGTGACATAAGTCTGATATGTACTTGCAGCAAATGACATGTTGCTGGAAAATACTGCTTCTAGTTTCTGCTATGGTTTTATGCAATTTGAAAGGAAATCTATTTGCTCTATAGGATAGTGTATTTTAATTTTATTTAACTCATGTGAATGTATTGTATTACTAATTTTTGTGCCTTTTCTGATCACTGAAATGCAATGTCAATGCCCAAAGCCGAGCATTTTCAACACCATTTGCTTTTTGCATTTAACTGAGGTGTGAAAGCCACTGAAACTATTCATAAGATTTGTACTGTCTATGGAGAAGAAGCAATGCCTCAAAGTACTGCCTGCCACATTAATTTTCATGGTTTAAAATTGGGAATTTTGACCTTAAAGATGCAGGACTTTTTTTCATATGAACGCATGTCAAATGACCAGAGAATTAGTAGAACAGATTGATTAGGATAAAAAAACTGTGGTGAACTTCTTTCACTCAGTGGGCAGGTTTGGAAACTCAGAGCTTGGATGCCACACACTTTGAGCAGAAACAACAAAATTCAATGTTCTACAATCCCTCAAGTTTGCTCCTGTGCTATTGCTTGACACACGGTCACAAACAGCATTTTCTTTATTGCATTGTCATTAGCACTGAAAAATGGTACCTTAATGCCAATATGAGGCCAGAAAAAGAATGGCTCAGCCCAATGTACATTATAAACATAAACAAGCATAAAACAGCATAAAACAACATAAACGAGCAACTCCTTGAGTAAAACAAAATTTTCATCCTCGGAAGATCATGTTGTAGGTATGGTGGGACTAGCAAGGCAAAATTCATTAAAAATGCTTGAGTGCAACCAAACAATGCGAGTCTCTATGTTCAACAACTACACAAACTCAATAAAGTATTTCAACAAATATGACTTAATAGGCAAAATGGTATGCCAAACACCTGTCTTTGCATTGCCAATATGACCAAAGTCTCAATTCAGTAACTAGATGGAAAATGTTGCCTCATGCTCCATAATCATCTGACTTTGAGCTGTCAGACATTCATCTCTTCCAATTAATTTCAAAATGCTTTGTGCATGACATCATTCAATAATGTCGTGGACATGAAGGTTTGGTTGATCAAATTCTTTGAATTGAGACTAAGTGATTTCTATCACTAAGGCACTGAAAAATTTATTACATGATAGAAAGAAGTCACAAGCAATAGCAGAGAGTATTCATAGATTGATCGATTGGGTAAAGATTTTTCATTTACAATCAAGCTCACAAAAAACATTTATAAATTCTTATTCCTCAATCCAACAAATTAGCATATTGAATGGCAGTAAGCATAACAAGCACTATTACAAAATGGATCACCTAACACGTACAGTTTTTTGAAGCAGTGCTTCAGTTGAAATGAATATATGTATAATATTTCAGGCAGAAACATTATAGTTGCTTTCCACATTTAGCCAATAAATTTGAGAACTGAAACTAGATGCTATATGAACATTAGCAGTTTTCTAAATACACTATGTTTTGAATAACTTCGTTCTTGTTTATTAATGGACCATGAGTTTGGTACAACATAACTTTTTAGGTTATGTACCGAATGCCACCAACAAACCCTTCTTATTAACTTTAAATCTTATACAATGTTGATGCAATGTCACAAATATTAGTTTGTATGAATCAGAAAATCATTCCACTTTCAGAGAAATTAACTAATATCTTTAAGCTAAAGAATGATTGAATGACATATTTGTGTTAATATAACACACAGGTTTTATCACATTTCTTTAAAAGGAAATTAAAAACTTTTTAACGACTTTAAGCAGAACTTAGTTATTTTTAGTCTATAATTTACCTCAAACAAAAACTTCAGAATTCTAAGTAACAGCTAGAGGGCTTTTTGTCTAAACATTTAAATATGTTCTGTAAAGTTTATTTTGCATGCTACCATGAAGGTTATGGCCACAAGCCTGAATTTTTATTAGTATTATTGAAATTGAAAACAGTCAACAAATCATAAACTGGCGCAGTTATAAACAGCAGCAATTTATTATACTATTTATGTGTTGCCTATATGAAATTAGAAATCTAGTAATGTAACGAAAAATTCGGTAAAACTGAATAAATTAGAAAGTTTATATATGTATGTGAAAACTGTATTATAAATTTAGTCAAAGGATCTCCAAAAACACTTTGTTTTGACATTCAATTAAATTAAGGTGTAGACATGAGCCTGGATTTTGAAGTATGGCATCTGAGTTTGAGTCGAGTTAATTAACCATGTACAATCTGCAACAGGAGAGAGAAACTGTTTAAACATAACATACCACATAACATAGCTTTCCACACACTGCAAAACTGAAGAGCAAGAAGTTTTAAATCATATTAAAGTAAATTCATATGCATATGTCTATGTGCACTATTTATGTGACTGAAAGTGTCTGTATACTTTGCTAAAATATTTTTCCTTCCAGAAGTCTAGAAGGGAATTCAGATACATCAAACTGAATCTCATATTAAAAAAAAAAAAAAAAAAAAAAAAAAAAAAAAAAAACTTTTTCTTTCCTCAGATGTATAAACTTCATAAGTTTTGACTTAATCTGAATTTTAGAATTATAAAATTCACTAACAAGGTCCAGAAGACTAGGAAGGGCAGCTGAAGGATTTTAAGTTTATTGACCAATTGTTATTCTTGTGTTTACCATCACTTTTGTTAGCTACAACAAAGATGCAAATTAGTTAATGTAAATGAAAGCAGAGTTCTTGAGTTTAACCACTTGCACTAAAAAGACGTGCCACGCACATCAAGATGCTTTTGTCACAAACCGCGAGCGACGTGAACACCACGTCAATAGGCATTTATCGCAAAAATGAAAATAACGTGGTGCACATGTCGCCTAACAACGAGATTGTTTATTTCTCGAGTTACAGCTCTGGATTGCACTCGCAGATGCGGAGCAGCGTAAATGAGACACTTTACCACTTGTTATATTAGAGTGCACAGCACTGCAACCGTAAAGTTTAGTCATAGCACAAGTGGTTAAGAGAGAGCTTGCAGCTGCTATTGCTGACCATCTTGCTATTATTTAAGTGACTGAATTACTTAAATCGGCTTTAGCCTGGTTAGCTTTAACTGCCTGTGTAAACTGAAGGCCTGAACCACAGACTGCAGGCCTGTTTTATCTTATAAATCTCATATTTTAATGCTTTAATTTTAGTTTAATTTTGATTCTGTTATTCTCATAAGCAGCAGAGATAATTTTTGTTACTACACAGGTTGTGTAATTGTTAGGCCAACAAACTAACAAAAATGTTTATTCTAAACTTTCTCCTATCTCGTGGTTACTTCGCTGAGAGATTAAGAAGAGATGGTAAGTCACATGACTGCCTTGACAGATTCAGAGATTAACATTAAGGAAATTAGGTCCATACATCTTTATACTTTAGAATAACAAGACTTTCACTAATAAGACAAACAGTATGATAACCAACAAAAATTAAAACTTACAGGGCTTAGGTGGTACTAAATAGGCATTAATAATATTGTTTTTCATTTTCGCCTTGGTATCTTCATTATCAGGTGGAACCTAAATAGATACTTAATATTTTATAAAAACAACTAGTACAATACAGTATAAGGCATATCAAAATTATTCGTAATGTGGGAATGCAATAAGAGTAGAATTTTAAATTAAACAAACACTATATAAAGAAGTAAAATAATAAATAAGAACTCGATAAAGAATCATAATAAGAACAATATAAACACAAAAGAATATAAGAACTCAGCAAAATGTTGCAATAATGATGTTTTAATGTCTCACCTATAATAAATTTTATTCAAAATGCATGGAAATGAAAAGTCTATATAAGTGAATGAAAAAAATAATAAAATAAAAAATATTACACACAATTAAGAAGTATTTTACAATCACTCAAACATTAATCAAAAGTATCAAGACACTTTAATAATGTTACATGTGTGTGAGTTCATAAAAAACCAAATGCACACAGAACTGATGATAGCTTGATAAAATTTATTTTACCAAAAGGAACTCTTTACAGTTCTGGAACTTTCTACGGAAATACTCATACAGCTCTTCTCAGTATCACAAAACACAATCAATAGTTACACTTGAAACTACTAAGAACATTAAAGACAACACAATGCAAAGTGCATCTAAAAAAGTAGAGCTCCTATGGAGATCTCTCAGTACTCCAAACTCATACTGAACTAAACAACTGAGAAACTAATGCTCTTCTCAGTATTATATAGTTTTCTCCCAGTCACCAACAAATCTCTAGTACCTTTCACTTCTCAAAATTACTCGAAGTCATGTGAGGACCGGATATGGTTACAGTTACATATATAGATTAATTACATTTATTCAATCACAATACCAAGTACAGTAATACATGGACTGAACCAAAATGTCCCCACATTCAGGACAAAATTAGTTGTCTTGGTAATTTCTTGCCAATTTAGTGAGATAGCCATTTATACACTCAAGGTTAAATAGACTTGCACCTGTATTCTTATTTTTCCGGCATAGCATCTTCTCTTTCAATCATTTCATATTACATTATACAAAAAATACTACAATTTCACTAAAATTATTTACATATGTAAAAAATTCACAACAATATACTTCCCTTGAAAATAAGAATGAAATAATACGACAAGGGTGCACCTTTCGCTACAATATCTGTCACTCGATCAGGAAGACCATCCCCTAATTTTTGGAACACTGCAATTTAAACTGAATACCATTCCTATAAGAGAACAGGAGTCTGTCAGAGACGTAACACAGTTTAAAGCTAACATTCCAACTCATATGCTCTATATGACTGAAATTAGGGCTTTAAGCAGACAGAGCCGTAGCTAGGGTTTTCAACACCCAGGGACAATTGAAGATTTTGTGCCCCTTTCTGTGTACCAAGAATGGGAAAACAGATCATTCTAAAATTTCTTATCATCAATTTGGTACCCCCTGGATGCTGCACCCGGGGACAGATGTGTCCCCCTTTGCACCACCCTAGCTATGGCACTGTAAGCAGATCATACCAATTCTCCAACACCCATGTCAACAAATCTACTCTGTTCTGTATATTCTCAATTGATGACAATATAGTGGTACTAAAATAAAAATCGGCCTTTACCAAACTTTTTTTACAGTCAAAGTAATATAGAAAATTCTAAAATATTGTGGCAGTATCTGCGTTCATAATTTCAGGTGGGTGAGTTGAGAAATAAACTCAAACCATTATGCTTCTACCATCAAATTTCATTTTAAGGGAAATATAGAGTATTGTGGAAAATATAAGATTCAACTTTCCCCTTAATCATCACTGGTAAAGTTTATTAAAATTTTCTCAATGGCATTTCGTTTCAGCAAAACATTCTTCAAATTAATTAAATTTGTTATCACTTGTGTTTAAATAAATACTATGTATATTTTCTTTCGGGAATGTTTCCGTTCGACAACTGATAACATTTGACTATTTAATTGGTATAATGTTCAGATTTACTTTATTGAAAACTGAAAGTTTACTTTTGGTCGCACTAAGCAAAAAGACACTGAGGATGCAGAAACTGACTTAATTCACTATTCTACTACGAGTTTTTAAATGTAAACAAATGGTGTTTCCGTTTACGCATAGTGGCACTTAAACAACTTTTAAATTTTTGATAATTCTACAATTATTGCACGCAGATTAACTAAAGGCGTAAATAAAAACCTTAAGAGGAACATAAGAACAACATAATTCAATTACTTTCAAAGCAAAAAATGCACGATTTATGAACATATAAGACTGAAAAAACTGAATTCATCAAAGCAGCCAACAGTGTCTAAAATGGCCTCAACACAAACAAAAAGAACTGACATTTTTGTTTCTAACAATGGCAACAGTAGTTCAATTAAAAAAAGAAACAGCTAACATTGACTGTAATTCTTTTAGTATCATCTGTGATTTGGTCTAGATATGCTGTGTTTTTGTAGCTACATTCTTTTTGTGTTCATTGTAAGAAAAGTGAAAATAAAAGTGTTTTCTACAGAAATTAGTCTTCCAGTACTATTTGATGATGTTCTACCTATTAAGCTCCTCTAAGAATTTATTTTGAACTTATGAATTTTAAACTTCAGAAATTTCAAACTTTTTGAAATGAAAAATTTAGTTATAACTTTTCAACATGGCATCTCCTACTGAGATGCGAGCTTAATTAATTGATTTTTATATTCTGAAACTATTCTGAATTCTGAACTTAATTTGAATTAACAGTGCTCTCAGAAATTTGTATATGTATTAAAATATGGCCAAAGCACAGTTATATGAGTTATTAAAAAAGGAAATTCAATCGCTGAGAACAGCTGTTACAAAGGCGAAAGTGAAGTATCGAATACATATTTAAATGCTGGAAAGGTATCTTATAGAAATTCTTCCCATTAAATTTGAACTTCTAGCTCCAGTTGATTAATAACTTGAACCACTTTTGAAGCCTAAGGAGTTTGATACCGAATTTGAAACTACACAAGAATATAGAGAAAAAATATTGCTTTGGCAATTTCGGAATTGAAGAATTTTCGAAAGCTCAAGTCGTGACAACCAATAGGCCTACAGCAGCCCCTCAATTAGAACAAATTTTGAACACGGATAGCATTCTTTTTAAAGTTCCAAAGTACCATATTGCCCGATTCTGTGGAGATGACAGTTCAAAATGGCTTATGTTTTGGAATAGTTTTGAAATATTTGTTCACAATAATGAGTCCCTAAACAAAGTAGATAAATTTAATTATTTAAAGGCTCATTTGGGGCGATTTGCCTTGAACACTGTAGAAGGATTTCCTATTTCAGCAGAACACTATGATAAGTTATTAAAAGACAAATTTGCCAATCAAGAGATACCGATTCAAGCACACATTAAGACTTTAGCTATGCAGCCATTAAAAAAACTCTATTAAATACTTTTAAGAAATTAGTCAATAATTGTAACGTGCAATTAAGAAGTTTAGAATCCTAATACATGTCTCCCATTAAGAAACCCGTGCAGAACAGTCCCATTAAGAAAACTAAACGTGAATTATGTTTGGGACTACATCATAATTTTTTTGTTTTGTGCAGTAAAAAAAAGGAAAGAATAAATAATATTCAAATCAGAGTCTACCGATTTAACTAATCACACCAAGGGAGAGGATTTTTTTGCAAACTTTAATTGTTTACATTGAAAAAAAAAATTCAAAGCCACTGGTGAGAGTGATTTTAGACACCGGAAACCAGAAAAGTTAAATTTCAAAACATGTTATGAAAACATTGGGTTTGAACAATATTGGAAAAGAAACATGGATACACCTGGACCTTTCAGAGGTAAAAAAAATGACCTCAGTTCATGATAGATAGAGGATTAAGTTATGTAAGCATGATGGAAAATTTGAATTTGTTATGGAAGTCAATGATCAGAAAAATATTTGCTTGGGCATACCTAAAACTAATAATTATAACATTTTATAACATTTGCAAGGATTGGATATATTTGTAACAAATTCTTACATGACTAATAAACTTCTTTTTTTTTTTTTTTGTTTTGTTTTGTTTTGTTTTGTTTTGTTTTGTTTTGTTTTGTCCAAGAAAGGTGCTAATGAAATTCTTACTTTATTGGACACTGACACTGTTGGAAAATTATTGACTGGTCATGTAAAACAACTTTCTTATGTACTCACCGCAGTAAAAACACATTTAGGATGGACTGTTTTAGGAAAATCTTATTGAGAATCTGACATTGAACCAAAAAATTCAATGTTGGTGCACTCTTTGATTAAAATCTTAAAATAAATATATTAGATCTGTGGGAACTTAGGCATAAAAGATACCAGTGATAAGTGAACAAAGTTAGAATTAAAAGATCTAGCTTTCAAGCATTTTAAAAACGTGATATCTAGAAATGAAGATGGCAGATACATCACTTGCATTCCAGAGATGGAAGGTCATGCAAAACTTGGAGATCATTTTGACTTGACTGAAAAAGAACTGCAGCGTACTGTTAGATCTTTGAAAACTGTAGGAAATGTAGGAAAGCTAACTCATTATGAACAGGTGTTTAATGAATAGAAAAATGAGGATGTTATCCAAAAGGTTGATTTCAATGAATCTAGTAAAATTGGAAAATGTTACTACTTCCCCCACAGAAAATAGAAGCTTCTGCTTGTAGATTTAGAAAACAACAAAATTCCCTGAAGACTCTCGAGCCTTGACCTCAAAAATGCCAATCTTGCGTTACAATTTTTTTAATTGCTTCCAAATGGTCCTGTGCTACTTTTACTGGCTTTCTCTGAGCAGAAATGGATGGAGAAGTAATGTGCCAGTTGATTGAAGCAAGATTGAAAGTTGCACCATTAAAGGGAATATCAATTCCAAAGCTAAAGTTATTAGCCTGCACAACTGGAAAAAGGTTAGCTGCATCAATAAAAAAAGACCTGCATAGAGAAAATGTATCATCAACTTTTTGTTCAGACTCTATGCATGTTCTTCACTGGATAAAAAGTGAAGGTCCATGGGTGATGTCCATTGCCAACAAAGTGGAAGAAATAAGAAGACTACTATCTAGAGCAAAGCTGGACATATTTACCAGGTATACTGAACCCTGCTGATATCCCACACTGGTGGAAAGGGCCTTCTTGACTCACGGAATTGGAAGAGGATTGGCAAAAACTGGAACACCTTCCAAATATGGAAGCAGTTAATTCAGAGCAGAAAACTATTATAATGGCAGTTTCTGAGCAATGTGAAGAAAAGTATTACCATCATTATTCTTCTTACGTTAAACTTGTAAGAATTACAGCATGAATAATTAGTTTAACAAATATGAAGAAAATAAAAGGTAATAGAACAACAGGGAATTTGATGACTGATGATATATAAAAGGTGAACATATCTTGCTTAAGCAAGTACACAAGAATATATTCAACAATGAGACTGAGTTCTTTACAGGTAATTGCAGACCCAGATGGTATTTTGAGATTGAAGATCAAAATATATTTCAGAGATGATCATCAGAGTTTCACTTACCAATTATACTTCCATCCAGTTGTGAAAAATCTCATTATTTATAAGCACAAAAGTTTAGGACATGCAGGAGTTCAATTACTTATGAGCCATCTTAGAAAGAATTATTGGAATCTGAAAACTAGAAAAATTGTTAAAGAAGTAATCGGGTCTTGTATCATCTGCAACAGGTTTAAGACGAAACTTGTAACTGTATTTAGAACAACTTTTACATCCAGATTGTATAAGAGATGCAGCAGTTTTCAAAATCATAGGAATAGATCTTGCAGGTCTTCTCATTCTCATGGGAGGGAAAAAGGCTTGGATTCTGATCCTGACTTGTGCTTTCTACCGTGCTGTACATCTTGAATTGTTAACCTTAATCTTGACTGAAAATTTTCTTTTTGGCTTGAGGAGATTTATAGCACAAGGAAGACCAGCTGTCATTTATTCAGACAATGGTTTTAACTTCAAAGGCACTTCTAGGCTCTTAGAGAAAGTGGATTTAAAGAAGTTGAAGAATATAGGAGAGCTATATCCAATTACATGGAAATTCCTACATCCTAACATTTGTTGGATCCTAACATGTTGGGGAGGTTTCTGGGAAATATTCATTGCACTTATGAAGAGAGTTTTAAAGAAAATTTTAGGAAAAACATCACGAACTGAATGCTGTTTTATGCAATTGTGAAAGTTTCATTAACTCAAGACTGCTGACTTATGTTTCAGAAGGTCCCGAAGACTTGGAACCTCTGACTCCTGAAATGTTCTTAAAAGATATTAGGAAAGTCAGCGCACCCAAGTTTGATAGCTTGGAAGAAAATAAGTTGAAGAAGAGACTGCTTATCGCATTAGAGTGAAAAGGGATCTAAGAAAGAGTTTTTACAGCTGAGTATTTAGGACTATTGCGAGAAGTGTATAAGGAAAAAAAGGGAAATTGTCTTAAATGAAGGGGGTACAGTTTTGTTGGGAAATGATCAGACGAAAAGACTCAACTGGAATTTAACTAAGTTAACCCTCTAACAAGAAGTACATATATCAAAACTGGGAAAAAAATTCAGTAAAATAATATAATCAAATTAACATAGCATAATAAAAATAATATAATGAACTGTTGAAAACTCCTTGGCCTTTTTCAAAGAGCAGCTGAAGAATTTTCAACACAGCCATAGCCATATTTCTGATTTACATCTGGATTGTGAATTCTTGAAATAATTCAAATGAAAGTGCTAAATTTGAAATTATTTAAGTCCATTAAAAGTACAATAAAGTTTTTTTTTTTTTTTTTTTTTTTTTTTTTGTATTAGTTAATCATCAAGACTTTATCTGCTCCAACAAGGCTCTAAAACACAAAATATTGCAAAAACAGTATAATGAAGAATTCTTGAAGTAGAAACCGGTAAAGTATTGGGTAAATTAAAAACAATGTGCTAAATAAATATTTAAATAAATTTCAAACCAAAGAAAATGAAAAATTGTTTTAAAAAGCTTTTGTAAATCCAAAGTAAATATATCAGTAAATAAATTACAGTAAATAAAATTAATTTGAATGGAATATGAAAAAAGAAAACCTGAATGAAGTATTGAAAAGAAAATTCATTCTAATTAATTTATCTGAATTAACTGTCTGAGTTTAATTTTTCCCAATTTCAGGCATGTTCCCTTTTTCAATTGTTAATCTTTTCTTTTTCCTATTTTAGGCTATAAAACCTCCATTTTTTTAAGGGTTTTTTTCATTTGTTTCTCAACTGTGAAACCATTCCTGCAATAGCTATTGTTAAAACTTGTTATTTATTTTACTTTTAGCAAATTTCTTCTAAAATAAATTCATTTCCTCAAAAAAATTTTACTTCAAATATATTTACTTTTGATTTGCAAAGTTTTTTTAGCAGTTTTGTATTTTTTTATGTATTATCCCACTGACTGCTGGTGGAAATTTCTGTAACAGTCGCTAATCACCAATCATTAGTGTGGAATTCCAAAGGAAGTGGTCGGTAATCTATAATTGTCACTCAATTACACTAATTGGTGCTAAACTACACTGGCTGGTCGATGGGATAATACATAATTACCGCATTTTCTTTGGTTTAAAATCTATTTTAATATGTATTTGGCACATGCCTTCAACTTACCCAATGGTTTTTCTAGTTTCTTACTTTAATTATTCTTTTTTATACTGCTTATTTTTACTGTACTTTTTGTTTTAGGATCACGTCAAAGCAAATTATATATCAATGATTAACTTTTCTTTCATTTTATTTTACTGCACTTTCAATGGATTTTAATTAATCACTTCAATTAAATTAACTTTTTATTTGGCTTTTTCATTTGAATTATTTCAAGAATTCACAATTCAAATATAATTCAGAAACATGGCTCTGTAGAAAATTCTTTGTCTGCTCCTTGAAAAAGGTACAAGGAATTTTCAACAATTTTATACATTAATTTTATTATCTTAATTATATTAATTTTACTATGTTATTTTATCAAACCCAGTGTTCTGATTTAATTATTATCTCCTTATTATTTAATTAATTTGATAGCACACTGCATGAATCTAATAAATCATAAAATTTCTAACTTTATTTTATATATATATATATAAACCAAAACATCAAATATTGCAAGCATGTAAATAAAATTAGTTAAATTACTGTGAAAATAAAAATTTTTAAACTACTAATATACCAGTGCAATACATGAATAAAATAGACGATAATAAATACATCTAAAATAAGTTTAAAAAATAAAAGATCTGAAATAAATTTAAAAAACAGTTTCACTTCTTCCAGCTCTTTTTTCTATTGAAGCAAGCTTTCCAACCTTGGATTTCACACAAAACATATTAATTAATCCTTTGATGGTGAGATTAAAACAATCCTTTCTTTCCAATGTATATCTTTCCAATATGTGCAATATCTGTTAGTCATAAATTTGTATTGCAAGCTGTGTTCATTTGCACTCACTATGGTGTGTAACTGAAATGCGAGCTGAGCTTGTTCATGACAATCAAAAGGTTAAAAAAAGGTGAAGTATCCATTATATTTTAGAACTTGTTATTATTTTACTTTTAGCAAATTTCTTCTAAAATAAATTCATTTCCTCAAAAAAATTTTACTTCAAATATATTTACTTTTGATTTGCAAAGTTTTTTAGCAGTTTTGTATTTTTTTATGTATTATCCCACTGACTGCTGGTGGAAATTTCGGCAACCGTCGCTAATCACCAATCATTAGTGTGGAATTCCAAAGGAAGTGGTCGGTAATCTATAATTGTTGCTCAATTACAAAAATATTTAAATAAATTTCAAACCAAAGAAAATGAAAAATTGTTAAAAAGCTTTTGAAAATCCAAAGTAAATATATTAGTAAATAAATTACAGTAAATAAAAAAGTAATTTGAATGGAATATGAAAAAGAAAACCTGAATGAAGTATTGAAAAGAAAATTCATTCTAATTAATTTATCTGCTATAACAATATATGCAGGAAAAATACATTTATTTCATTCATATTAAAAACTTTATTCTATTCGGAAGAGAAGAATTTACATACCATTCCTCTGACGTCCCGAAAATAAGGAGCAGCAAATAAAGAAATTGGTCTTAATAAGGCTCCTCGTTTGCTTTTATCTGGCTTTTCTTCCTTTAATAGTGCCTTATGTAGTGTCCTCGCCTCTCTCTAAAACACAATCAGTAATACATAAATATAACTGAAAGATATACTTTTGCTAATATATTATAATAACTAATTTCTTATGAAAATGTATTTTTCTAATAAATAAAGTTCTTACTAAATACATTTTGGAATATATTTGATTTTTCATTAAGTTTGTCTTACATTTTCTACTTTCTTGAAAACCTTATGTGAACAAACATGCATGATACAGCTAACATACAATATGCAAACACCAAAAACAAAAATTGTGTACAGAAAAATGTAATTCTAACATCAAAAACAAAGAACTTAATTTCTCATCACACAAAATTTAAATACTGATATCAAGAAAAATAAAATACAGTTTAACTACATAAAATCCCTCATTATGATTAGCAATGCTTTCTAAGGAAAAGCTAAGAAAATATGAAAATTAAAAATATTAAATTCATAAAGAAAATTAACACACTTCAGCTAAAAATAGTTAATGCAGAACTCTACAATTATAGAACTTTAATTTTTCAAAAACATCAAGTTAAGCTTGACATTTGATAAATCTCTAGTTATTTGGACAGCAGATTAATTATTCCAGATTGCTTATTTTCTTTTTAGGCCACATAAAATTACACGTTTTTATTTATCTATGCATGTTTATTTTTTTGTTTGCTTTTTTGTTTATTGTTAGTACAGTAAGTACAGAATAAACAGTAACAATATTTAGTACAGTAAAAATAAACACAGGATAATGCATTTAGCTTTGTTCATGTAAAAACAATAAATTTCATTTCATTTCATTATAGTTCGAAAAGAAATGAGCTGCACATACAGACAAATAAAAAAAAATGGTACTATTCTGTTAGAGCAGCGTCAGTTAAAAGTGCGCTAGCCACCAATTGTTGCCAAGTAAAAAATTATGGAATAATAATAGAGTTGAAAAAGCTAAAAAAAAATTATTTTCATCAAAAGTAATTTTTTAAATTTCTTAATTCTTAAAAGAAGTAAATTTTTCCTTATGATTTTTTTAATCTATAATATTCTACACATAAATAAAAAAATAACAAAATAAAATAAAATTCAATCTAAACAGGTGGCATAAAATTACAAATGATTTCATCCAGTGTTGCAGAAAAAATGTCAGTTTTTGAATATAACCAATGCTGCATAAATTCTATCAAATATGACTCTAAATGCTTGCGAGCGGTGCTCCACTGACGTTAATTTCTCTATTTAGCACTGCCCCACAATTGCTATGCAGTTTGGGTATGGCATCTAGTTTCGGAGTCTACAAAATTATAACTGTGAATCACGATGAAATGTTCATACACAGCATTTCTTTATTCCTCTTTCTTATATTCTTTCCAGCAGTCTGGAAATATAATGCTGCCATCTACGATGTTTCTCTGAATGGCACTCATCAAAACTGTAAAACAATGATCAAGAACGGCGATCAGAAAACATTCTTTGCTTTCCCGGCATAAACCTCCTAATACTCACTGTTCTACAAGAACACGTCCAACGTTGTTTTTTCTCCTTGTGAAAGGACTTTAAAGTAGTTATTCCAAACTACTGTCATACTATGGCTGATTTCTAACTGAAGTTGGCAAAATTCAATCGACGTCAATTCTAGACACCACAGATAGATAAACAAATGGCATTGAGGAAAGAAAGATGCAAGCCTTCAAACCATGTTTTGGTTCTCAATCCTTTTTTTTTTTTTTTTTTTTTTTTTTTTTTTTTTCACAGCAAGAACATGCATTACAACGTCATATAGGAGCTTTGTTTGAGTAAAGTTGACTTCATCAGATGATTTTAAAAACAAAGTTTCTTGCTATGAATTATTCCTTTGTCAATACTTATTAAATACTGAAAAATGGCAGCCTCTTCTGAAAAATGGCAGCCTTGGCAGCCTCTTCGTGATTAGATAATTGCAAAATTTTGTAATCCATTGTATTATGGATTACAAAATTGGTGAAGTGTGGCAAAAAAAAAAGTGATAATACTTCAAACAAGAACTAGAAATCTGGAGCCAGGATATTTCACACATAAATAGAAAATACTCAAAATAGTGAGTGGCGATATTTCAAACGAAAATTAGAAATCTCGACCCATGATACTTCAAACATTAAATTCTTGAGCCACTGCTCACCACCTTTTAGAGTCTTACTTGCTAAAATTTATGTGGCATCGGTTATATTAAAAAACTGACGAGTTGTTGTAGTACTGTTGACTTAGAATTCTTTCTTCATATTTAACTGACACCGCTCCAACCGAATAGTACCAAAAAACAACTCCACTGCTTAATTTTATAGGAAAAGTATTTCGCACTTTATTTTCAGAAATAAAGAATATTTTACTCTTTTCCACTCTGTAATGTTTACTGAAGAAAATACAATATATTAGGGGGAGGAATAAACAACTAACAGCATATCTTAAAAAGTGAAGCAATTTATAACAAAGTATTTCAAAAACTATTACAATACACAGCTAAACATCATAAAATCTGTTGCAATTCAATGTAACGTGCAGAAAAATGTGATTTTTCAGTATTTAATAAGTATTTTTATTTTCATGTTTTTATAAATGTCAGAATAAAGCAGCAGTGTTTAAACACTTTTAATAGATAATAAAGAAGAAGCTGAAATCTCTATATATCTTGCAGCTCCCTTTTGAATTTCCGGCTTACTTCATTAGAGGGGTTTGTATTCAAGAAAAATAATGAGATTTTCAGATAAGCTTAAACCTTCTTTTAATTTTTTTTTTTCTCTTAAATTATTAACTGCACAATCTTCATCAGTGCTAGTGTCATCAGAACCGATTTGATTTACAGCTTCAGATGACATTTCCATCGAATCTGCTTCGACAATTTCTTCTTCCACTAATAAATCTTGAACATCCTCAATAGCCATATCGATAAAACCTTCATCTCCTATTGACTTAGCAAGTTCTAACGTGCCACCAATTTCATTTTTTGATGATTCATACAAGTTTTCTATTTCAAATGAAGAGGGCCCTATCTTCTTCCAACACACATGTAATGTTGGTGTTTTCAGTTCTTTCAGCGACAACGATATAATATCGATACAGTGCTTAATTGAAAATTTCTTCCAAACTTCCATTACATTAATTGATTTTGAATTGGTTACGTCTAAAATCTGCTGTAATGCTCTTCTTATGTAATACGTTTTAAAGGTATGAATAAAACCTTGATCTAGTGCTTGGAGTAACGACGTAGTATTAGGTGGTAGGAACAGTATTTTGACATTGGGATGATTCAAATCTTGTGGGTGACATGTAGCATTATCTAATAGCAATAGTGCTTTGAAGCTCAAATTTTTCTGTCTAAAATAACGTTCAATGTCTGGCGCAAAACAATTTTAAAACCAGTCTTTAAATTTCTAGTTAAAGCTCTTGGATTTGCTTGCCAATATACCGGTAAAGTGTTTTTATTTATGCCTTTAAGTGTACAAGGATTTAAATATCTGTCAAAATGTCCACTGACGCATTACTGCACAAAAATAGGGTTAAAACGATATTTAGACACCTTATATCCAGGTGTAGTTTTTCTTTTTTTGATATAAAGGTTCTACTGGGCATTTTTTTCCACCACAGCCCAGTTTGTCGGCATTGAAAACTGATCTGCTATGTATCCCTGCTCTTCCTAACATTTTGAATTTTTTCAGGAAACGTCCTAGCAGCTTCATATTCAGCCAATGCAGATTCTCCTTGAATTCTTATGCTATGAATGGCAAAATGCTTTTTGAAATTTTTGAACCAACCTTTACTTGCCAAAATCTGCATTGACAGAGGATTCTTCATGTTCTTTAAGGTGCCTGTTTAATGATATTACCATCCAACGGAATTCTTTTTTATAACTATCATCAATAGAAATGCTGGGTGCCTTTTCCATCTTCTCAATTACTGGTGCCCGGGGATGAGCTGCATGTCTTGCAGATGTCGAAGATCCTGCAGCAACTGCACTTCTTATTTCTTTTTCATTTCTCTTAATAGTCTGGACCGTAGCTTCATTCAAAGACCTTTTTCAATGTCAGATGACTTTTCACCTTTTAAAAGACGATCCAAGATTTGTAGCTTTACTTCTAAAGAAATAAATCTCTTCTTAAACATTTTTTTATCTTTATCGGACATGTTTCGGGGCAGAAACTTAATGTCTTAAATGCAAAGAAGTTATTCTTGCAAAGAAGTTATTCAACCGTGGTTCCACACAGACTGACGACCAGCGGCGTGAGATTCTTGTTTTCAGGCCACATAGATGAGGATTCGAATTCTGGAAATCGAATGCTCAAGTTGTGTGTCTGGAGCTCTCATTGTGACCTCATGTCATTCATTTTCTGCAATACTGAGGTTCCTTCCAATGAAGGATATCTGGATTATCTGGTGAGTGTGGTCTTTTGTGACTGAGTTTTGTTTCTATTGTGCTACACTTTGATGGTCATGGAAGTAAACGATTTTCCCTTGTTACCAGTTAAAAATTTAACGGTCGGTCTCCACCATGTGCTCATCTCCCTCAGGACTTTTGTTCTTATGGGAACCAGATCTTGGAAGAAAACTGGTAGAACAAGTTTTCTTCTAAGATCTGGTTCCCAAGAAACAACAAGGATTAACATAAACAAGGTTTATAAAACAAGGATTCTTGTGTATTAACCTTGAAAAGACTGAAAAGTTTGGAAAGGTTTACTTAAAAAGACAGGAAATAGGAATGTTACTTCCACCCCCTTCAACTGCCATTTCAATGGGAAACTACCACTCTTTTGAAACCTTTCCTTTAGTATGCCCCCTTAGTTAATTTTCAGATAACAGACTAGGGTGAAGGTGCAAAAGGTCATCGGATGAGTGACAGGAAAGGTTGTCGGACATTGACTATCTATGCATTCTAAAGGATGAGGGTGGCAGAATACTTCTGACCGATATTTGGGTCAGAGCCTTTTTTTCTTTTTGGAGACCCTGCAAATCTGGCCTATATTTTGGCCGCTGTCTTTAAAGTGGACTATGGTGGTGCTTTGCTC